GTTTGTAGTTTGGAAAAACCGAGGGTATCAAAAGTGCTGACCTTTGTAGAGCTCGGAACTAACGCAGCGTCCCGTGGTATAGGCTTATGTGTGCGCGATCTCCTGCTATATAAGTACCCTAAAATTGGCGCCAAAGGTTGTACTACAGTGGTAACCGCCACGTCAGAACGGCCTGTAGCTATCTCTGCAACAAGCTTCGGCCGTTTGGGTGACTGGTCCCGAAATAACGGCTACGCGAAACGTCGAGTCATTCAAACCACCACGACTCCGATATAAAAATGTCAAAAGTTAACAAGGAACGGCTACGACTTCACCATATATGTATGGTCAGCATCATTGCTACGGCTGTGACTCAGCCGTGAGACAACGCGAGACGCCACGAGTGGTCCAACGAGTTTAACACCTCGCAACAATTCTCAGCAGAACGGTCATCAGCACAGTACGGTCACAATTCTCATCAGAAGAAACGCTACGGTCACAGTCGTCAACCGCAGTACGGCAACGAGCTTGGAGTAATATGATCGACTATGAAGACGAACGTCACTATTCATAAGTACGGTCGTTACAAGAATCCTACGGCCAGACTGACCGTGAGACATCTTTATCAGCGAGACACGACGGTTAGGAAGAACAGCGGCCGCGGGGACGCGCCGCTACAGCTGTGGTACGGCCACTTGGAATACTGGACTGCAAACGAGCACGCGAGGGAGGGTCGTTGCGGGAGTAGTACCATTCTACGAGAGCGTACTACGGTTCAACGTTTTCTGGTAAAAAGTAGATTTTAGCGATGTAATCTGATAGAATCTCTAATTTGATTGTATTCAGATTACCTTTCTCATGTACTGAAGATTTTTATCGACGTAGGATGTGAACACGAATTTCCCAATTTATTATGAAATGTACTAGTGTTTCAATACAACTCTCTCTCTGTAGGATTTTTTCGCCGTAACCTATTCACGCGAGAACCTTTTCACTCGCGCCGCTTAAGTGAGTCTCTCGGAACCAACCAGACAAACGAAAAATTATGAATATCTGAACCTGCACGTAATGTAAAATTTGGAGGAGTAATCGCTCCGATTGTTATACATTAAAATATATTAGACAGAAAACTATCATGCACAGTTTCATGCTTCGTTTTAATCAACATTTGTACACTCAAAGACAACTTCAACTCAGGTGGGTGTATTTATTGAAGAATTTAGGATATTAACTGCTTCAACTCGATTGAAGATATAACGTAGGATGTGAACCTAAATTTCCCAATTTATTATGAAATATACCCGTGTTTCATTACAACCCTCTCTCTGTAGGTTTTTTTTTGCCGTAACCTATTCATGAGAGAACCTTTTACCTCGCGCCGCTAAAGAAAGTCTCTCGGAACCAACCAGACAAACGAAAAATTATGAAAATCTGAACCTGCACGTAATGTAAAATTTGAAGGAGTAATCGCTTCAATTGTTATACATTAAAATATATTTAACGGAAAACTATCATGCACAGTTTCATGCTTCGTTTTAATCAACATTTGTACACGGAAAGACAACTTCAACTCAGGTGGGTGTATTTATTGAAGAATTTAGGATATTAACTGCTTCAACTCGATTGAAGATATGTAACATTTCTTGGCTACGCCATTTACTCAAATGACCCTATTTTTGCGCAATGCAACGCTAGGCTCGTGCGTAGCTCGTGGCCGCACAGGGTTCACTTCTTTCCGCTTTAACGCCCCCTGTCGGGCCCCCAGGGACCCGCCGTCTTGATCTTACTTGACCGAGCCTCCTGGCCTAGGAGAATAGATCCGGGTCCATGAATTGAAGCCCCAAACTCAAGCTTGACCTTTAATTAAATTCAATACGCATTTCTAACACTTCAATTTGGCTTTACGTTAATTTACATCAGTTTACATTAATGACGATCGTATGAGATTATCCATGCCTGAGTCATGTGGTGCGTACGTGCAAAAAAAGTTAATTGCGCAATTTTTTTGCACAATTATTTTCACACTATTGTTTATGAATCTAAGAAGTTATCCCATTCTAATACCATGGTGAATATCTCAGGTAGTTATTCAATTTTTTTAACGACTTATGGTAATGACAATATGAACGCATACGGTATCTCTGGGTATTTATATGAAATAAAATAATATTGAATTGTGACAAACAGCATGTAATTGAGGCTTCATTAATGGGATATTTACATTAGGAAATCTTGATTAGGAAACATTCTCACCAGTGATCATGTATTAGGCAGCTAATAATTAACGCTGAATGATAATTATTTAAGCACGACAAAGTTTCGTCGCGTTTTCTTACCCGCCTAACTCAGGCTCGACAGCGAGGAAGGTCCAAAAAACCACATTCTGATTAACATTTACTCGCATCTTGCCGGCGTAAAAAACGTTCGTGCGACGGCTTAGGGAATGCACCAAGACTAACAGAATAGTAGTGACGTATTTACGTAAGTGACGCATTGACACGTAACAACCTTATTGGGCAAACTCAAACTCATACAGTGCTTTATCTACGACACTTTCATGACAATACAATGAATATAGCCACTAATACAGCGCACATTTAAACAAATACCGGAACAAAAATATCTAGAATCTCCCGCGCGGGAGTCTCGAGCCAGAAGGACGCGTCTGATTTTAAATTGGCGTTGTTTGTTGCCAACTTCCAGACGAATTCCCTTCGATTTAGCATATTTTATTTCGCTATCATAAATACCTCCCGTTCAATAATTTAAACACAACGTTTCGGGAGCAATTCCGATTTTATAGTTACACTCTTGAGCCTATCGATCAACAATTGATTTGCATTAGTTTTACATGTTCAGGTACACGTGGCAGCTAAAATTTAACATTTTATAAATTCTTCAATAAATTTTGTTCTTGAAGAGCAGTTTTAATCCATTACATATCACGCCGAATCGACACTTCAGCGAACCCGCCTGCGCACTCGAATGCAAAACCTAACTTCACGTTCAACTCTGCCAGCCATAAATCCATCAATACTGAACGGATTTCATTCAAATTTAAAAAAATAAGTAGATATTATCAATGCGCTGTGGAGGTATTTATTTCAGATCTTTATATCAATTAGTTTTCTAGTAATACGGAAAACCTAACTTCACGTTCACCTCGCAGGTTAGGTCCTAGTCAGGTCCAGTTTCAGTATTTTGTAGCATTAAAAAAAAAAAGAACTATGCTGTCTTAACCTAACCTGTGATTTGGCGTTTTTAGCTATGAATTCTTGAAAAAAGGTAGCATTTTTTAACTCAGGCTGGGTGAGTTGGACGTCAAGTTAGGTTTTCCGTATTAATAAAAAAAGAATCGATTTAAAAATCCGAAATAATTCTGTCCATAGCGCAATGATAATATCTACTTATTTTATTTATTCTTCACTAATAATAATTCACGCATATCGTATGCTCAGGATGCCAGTATATATGATGTTGAGCCAGCAAGACTCGCATGATCGGCTCCGCCTGGCGACTTCTGATGAGTTAGTCCGTGTAGGAACTAGTATATAGTTCAGCCATGAGTTAGTCGCTCTCCTCATTCACTTCTCTTACTCCGTGTCGTCAGGTGTGTGTATAGTTCGCTCCGTAATCTCTTATCGCGATTCATTACGGCATTATTTTATTTATATTATTTTCTGATATGACAACTTACTACAGACTTACTCAGTAGCAACTCTTAGACATATAGAAATAAATAGCAACTGTTCTGTCGATTTGTTCAGTTCATCCGTCCAAATTATTAGTCGAGGTGGCCAAATTTGTGCCTTTTGAATCAATTATCTGCTAACGTTTACGGTCTTTATATTTATGTACGTGATCATAATGAATGTATATTTTATATACAAGAAATGATCTTACAAATGCAACATATGTCAATGTGTGCTGGGAATGTCCGACTTCGAGAACTTTGCCTTGGAACTTCTGAAAATGCTCATGTTATTTCTTTTCCTGTTCAGGATGCAATTGAACAAAAATACCTTCTTTCATTGTGAGCAGAAAGATTTGTTGGAAGTTCACGCAGAAAAATAAATGTGTAATTGAGTCCAAATTATGACAATGTTTCTACCACAGCACAAGCAGATAGAGGACGTATATATAGCACTTATACGTATTATGAGTATGCTTGAATCGCAAGTTCACAAGGAATTTAAAAGCAAACAAAACGCCAAGTAAATTCAACATATCGATATTGAAAACGTTTCGGAGTCCAGCTCCATCATCAATTCGACAATCTAAAAATAAATACAATCATTTTATAATTCAAAATTCCCCTTTTTTAATTATAAAATTATTAAATATTGAATTATAAAATGATTGTTTTCATTTTTTAGGTTTTCTAACTGATGATGGAGCTGGACTCCGAAACGTTTTCAATATCGATGCGGTAGATTTTCTTGGCGTTTTCTTTGCTTTTAAATTCCTTGGGGAAGTAGCTCTGATATGCTATTTTGCCGGGACGAACTGGGTCAGGATTACCACCACAAAAGGGCATATAGTGCATTGCTATGGGCGCCATTTCTCACTTATTTCTCTGATTGTATAATCTTTTCTATCCTTCCGCTGAACCAAATCTGTTATAATAAGTACAAAGATTTTTATTTTGCCAGTTAAATTAAATTTATTCAAGACCGAGTAGTAAATATAAACCATTTGGTTCGCCCCTTTCGTCACGGCAATATTTTGAACCTTACAATCAAATTGACACATGTTTTCTTCAAGACAATGACAGCTTGAATTACATTCTATATGCACATTTTTAACACCAAGCTATTGTTTCAAACTTATTTATTTTGTTCTTGTTCATGATAGTAGAGTTTAATGGTGTTCAACAGTCACATTCTTAATGTTTCTATAATTTTCCAGCTATTTACTGAGCCTTAGAATCTTCACGGCATTGATGGGGGATTGCGGTGGAGGTGGTGGTGGCGACGAAGGAGGCGGCGGCGGCGGCGGCGGCGGCGGTTGCTATGATGGAGGTACCAGCTCCTGGGGTGGAAGTGGCGGCGGAGGCGGTGGTTACTATGGTGGAGGTACCAGCTCCTGGGTTGGCGGCAGTGGTGGTGGCTTACAGACGAGCAGTCAAGTAAGTGCCTGCTAATGACTCTTCACTTTCCAATTATTATCATGTTCTGGTATGAGCGGCGATATGGCAAACCTACTGGTAACTTCCCATTATCATAATTAATTGAAATATGTTCGAAACTGAAAGGCATCACGGGTAGAATAATCTTTCCGGAGCCGATGAATACTTGACCAACATTCACCCATCCCGAGCTTGCAGTTTGGTCAGACATGTATCCCGATATAATCAAAATCAAAAATTTATTTTTATTTTATTTTGAACTTGGTAAGCAGATCTGGGAAACATTTCTGAATTTAAATCAACAGTTCTTGAGCTATTATTTTTAATGTTCCTCATAAAGCTAGGTAGAGAAGGTTAATTTTTTTGGTTTGTGGGTTAATTTTCGATTTGCTGGAAACTCGGTGAAGGTGAGAGGCCTAATTGTATGCAATCATTTAAATTAATCCCTCAACCGACTTTAGTGTTCCCATGTGTGGTCTGTAATGCCAAGAAACGTGCTTTAGTCCACGGTATACGAATGTTTCCTGCTGTATGGTATCCAATCAGTTATAAATCTAAATGTTCATGAAAGAGTCTTATAAAATGGGTCTAGTTGCCAAATTTCCCTTTTTGTACTATCAAAATTTACTTGGATTCCTTGAATTCAACGGATCTACCACCCATATTAAAAACAACAACGATTCGTAGGTATAATTTCTTCAATGAGAAAAAGTTCATTAATGTCTACAAGGTAATAAAGTTATGCTAAAATAATATGCAGATTTGATTTCAACACATAGGAAATTGCAAACTTCTTCTGTTGTATTTTTATCCATTTAAAGCTATAATTTTACAGTCGAAAGATTCTTCATGTTTGAATGACAGTTAGTGGATCCTGTAGATCAGTAATGGAACACGTTCGCAACTAGTAGGGTAACATGGGGCAGCGAGCCCACTGCGGGTCACGGGCCCATAGCGGGTTTCTCGCTAAGTATGGCAGATATTGGCCCGTGTTCTCTACCACCGGTCGACAGTTTCACTGGAATGAAGTGTACGGATTTTCGTTTTGCTAAGTGTTTGCGTCATTAAGTTATTTGTGGATAACTGTTTCAGCCCAGATAAAGTTTTTTTTTGCTGCTAAATAAAACTGTTATCGATTACTGTAGATGAAGCTTTTGAAATTACTGTGAATTATATTTTGAAATTAATATCTATAGGGATAATTTTGAGATCAAGTTTAGACTATTAGCTTTTAAAATAAAATGTTGACACGATATAAATTGAAAGGATACCTAGTGGGGGCTACGGGTCGACGCGTGTCACGGGGCAAAGCGCCCATGGGGAAGTCTTGTGTTATACATCATTAGATTTGTCTCAATGACCTTTTCAAAACTATGACTAGCTTTTGAATTACCAATCACACTTCATATTGCATGATTTTTCGATTTGCCGCCTCAAGGCAGCAGGTTTAGTTTCTAGTTATGCGTATTTATGACCCCTTATAGAGTTATTGACTCTTGCCTTGCCAAAAGTTGATTTCAGTCAACACCAATGAGCCAAAAGTTTATGAGTTTTTATGGTGTTAACTGAAGTCATGATTAGGTACGAATTCTCTGCAAATAATATCTGGATTATGGGCAAAACTGGAACGAAGTTTTTTTCTGATCAACTAAATATATTTTTCTAGTCAAGAATACATTTTTTTCATGTCAAGGACGAATTTTTTTATCGCAAGGATATATTTTTCAAGCCAAGGATATATATTTTTATGTCAATGAAATATTTTTCTTCACGTCAGTGATAGATTTTTTAAGCCAAGAGTATATTTTTTTCAAGTTAAGGATATGATTTTTTGAGTTGTTAATAAATGAATGAATGTCATATTTTTTATTACATTTTTCTTATTTTTAACTGTAAAGTGTTGTTTTATCATTTTAAACGAAAAATGNAAAAATTGAATTAATCTATAGGCGTCTAATTCACATCATACATTCCTCATTAGTTGCACCTTTAAACAAAACAAAGAACCATCTCGTATCAATTAAAACTTCATCAAAAATTTAGTTTAAAAAAAGTGGGGGGCGCGCTGCCCCATGTTGCCCTACCGTAATTTCAAGTTTTGATGTAAATATCTTTCGTTCACTCGTATTTCAGACGACTGGAGGAGAGTGCAGCAAGGGCCGTGCGTGGGCGTTGGGGATATGCATGATATGCATATTCATGGTCATAATTTTCCTGATAATCATCCTGCGTTAATATTGGTTGGAATGACATAAAAAACCATAACTATAGTAAAATATAACTATATAAATTAAAGCTGTTTTATTATTTATTGTAGATTACCTTTATAATGCATTTACGTTTCCGCTCTACAGGCCAGGGATGCGTTCCGCACGTTTTTTGTTAAATACCAAGGTTGAAATTATATCCGTGATAAGGTGCTTTTTATCTCATTAAACAAACTCAACAATATCTATAAAAATCAAAATATACACGTACGAAGTTGCAAGAATTTATGGCCATTGCTATATCGATCCATAACCATTATGAAATTTTTATGACAGTTTCAAATGATCGAATTTTTATCAAATGATTCACTCGTATTTTTTTTAACGTGAACGCTGGAAAGATAGCCATCTACCGTTGAGCGCAGCATAGCCATTATAGCTATACAGCAACTGAGTGTACAGTATGTACTATAATATACGTGTAGGCTGAAACGGCGGCCTATATAATTGTATGAAACAGAATTATGTACACACAGCCCCTATACGACGTGAGTATTGTTTACTCCCACCATGTCTACCAGAAGCAATATGTTCCATTTAAGCGACATCAATATTGACTCAGCGTCAAGGATCCAGAGCCAAACTGCATGGGTGTAGCACGGTTGTGCTTTTACAGAAAAATACAACATGTCCCTGTAATAACATTAATTTTCCTTAGATTGTTTACCGAGATTGATTCAATTCTGTTCATGACCATGGTTATTCTTGAAAAGAAAACATCTTGCAGTTATTAACCCAGCCTCAGGTTATATTATCGGGTCTATACCCAGGTTGTGACTCAGGCTCTGTAGCTCAGGCACAGTCATGCTTCTTAAAAAACAAAAATAACTTGTCACCTATCACCTAACCCCAGATTCCGTCTGATATTTATGGGATGAAGCAGAAGCCCTCAGTCATTTAATTCAATGGTATCCTGAACCAAACCTGGCGTCAGAGTGCCGAATCCTATCTGACCTCATGAGATCCGAAAGGGTACGTCAGCCAAAGAAAACCGCGCGAGCTGCGCGGAAAGCGGCTCAGTCTTTCATACTCGGCAAGACAGACTGAGCAAAAGGGGTTTTAGAAGAGGCTCTATCAAAATCTATGAATCATTTGAATTACTGGGCCGAAAAATATGAAAGATCAAACCAAACACAATATAACCTAAAAAAGCTTCAAAATGGGGGGAAAATGAGTTCACTGCTCCACTTTAGAGGGAGCAGTGACGTGTGCCAACAATCGTCGTGTAGCTTTTAATGTGATGAAGTATCATAAAAAATCGAAAGAGACAATGCTTCGTTTAGAAATCACGTCGAAATGAAGATACGGAAAAAATTGTAATAAATAAAATTTCGACAAGCAGTTTTTTATATGTCAATATCCTCAAAACAAAACCCGTATCCTCACTAGTGTAGGCATCACTTGTGAGAAAGTGTGTGTAAAGTTTGAACTCGATCATGAGATATGCAACGGAGATAAACACGCATATAAGTGTCATTTTTCGCGAAAATGTATCGATTTTCAAGTTCACATGGAAAACTTACGTACTGTAAAATTACTGTAACTCATCAAATGTTTGCGAGCAATCTGAGAGTACGTGTATAAAATGAAGATACGGGAAAAATTGTAATAAATAAAATTTCGACAAGCAGTTTTTTATATGTCAATATCCTCAAAACAAAACCCGTATCCTCACTAGTGTAGACATCACTTGTGAGAAAGTGTGTGTAAAGTTTGAACTCGATCATGAGACATGGAACGGAGATAAACACGCATAAGTGTCATTTTTCGCGAAAATGTATCGATTTTCAAGTTCACATGGAAAACTTACGTACTGTAAAATCTTTTTCGAGACGAGTTACTCATCAAATGTTTGCGAGCAATCTGAGAGTACGTGTATGTAATTTGATCGAAATTGCTAGTTTTGAAAAGGAGATATGGGCGCAAGACTGAGATTTTTTAAATTTTCGTTAAAAATCGCTGGCATTTTCGAAATAATTTCACACTAAACAAAATTTTTGTAAAAAAACAGGAAAGTTGCATAAATTACCTGGCCAAGCATTAGTGAAAGTATGAACGAAATCGGAGCACCAGTTCCGGAGATATGAATCAAATGTTAAATCATGCACCCGATTCCATGTGAACCTGTACAGTCAGCAAAAGTTGGACTGACTTAATGTCAATACGCGCACATACCTTATGATAAGTTTAGGACTTCTTGATGCGCCGCCACATATGGGGGTGCGAGTAAAACCCCAGCGAGATCCAGAATTCAACTATCAACGCTGAAAGTTGTAACAATAATCATATTCATGTTGTTATGTGGATTAATTTGCTTCATTTGTTCATGGTTTCCGCTTTTTGAAATATTACTGAGATGAAAGTTATTTGACCCTTTTCAGTATTAAGTAGATTTATTAGAAGAACCTAAGCGGTATCTTCGTTCCTGGGTGTGGTAGAGAAATCGTCTATTCGCATAACGTTTAGTTAAATGTTTAATAATATGCGTTTAAAATTCACTTTTTAAAGACAACACTTCTAATGAGGCCAGTGTCTACGATGTTACACATGTACAGTGAATTTCTTATTTTATTTTTAAATATTAAAACAATTCTTTTCAATTTTTTTAATATATAATTTTCTTTAAATATCGATTTTAAGATTTGTAGCAGACAAACAAATAAACAACAAAAAGTGAAGTTTAAGAGAAGTGTTATAAAGTGTTGTAATAAAATAAAAATAAGTTTGATAATCGGAAATGTCATTTCAAGCTCCAAATATTCCTGGAACGTGTAATTTTGTCACACTGTTACATGTCAGTAATATTGTTTTACACGACTTTTTCGACATCACCATATGTTTTCAGACTTTGCAGAATCGAAACAAACTGACTGTTTAGTTTGAATTATTTTCCAGAATTATTCAATACAACGAATGTTTATAACAATTATTATTTTATGCAAATTTGATTGAAAACCAGAGCATGTTTTTTTAATAACCTAATACCGTATATTAACTACTTATTTTTTCAATGAGTCGAACAAAATTTCTTGCTGGTGCATGGAGATCAAAAAGTAGGTTACCAAATAGCATTGCAATGGAATGCGATGTTTCAAATATTAAATATTCATTATCGAGCAGGGTTTTGCAGCACTTGAAACTGAACTTTTGGATATGACAAATCAAAGGTATTGTGGAAACAGTTTGAGATCTGAGCTTAAAACTACTCTGAAAATAATTTCAGCGTCCGGACGAATCCTGTAGTTTGGAGGTTGATAGCTGGACACTCGCTCTTGATAATGAGGGCCTCAGCTATCGCCAGTCTCGATGGGTCGGGGCACCGCATAACTATACTGGTGCAGGCCTCCAATGTCGCTCGATCGGGTGATGGCCTCATTGTGAGCCTCCCGCATATATATATGTGGTTCTTAGGTCCTCCAGATTGTAGATATGTGAGTCGGTGGCTTAAGGTCGCGCTAGTGAAAAAAAGATTATTATTATTATAATACATGTTTTGGTCTTTAATCAAACCTGGATAAAAGAAAGGCACAAAAGAAAGTAAAAATGGCCGAACACCGCTTTCATAAACGTCAAAATCGCAATACAGTAGAACTCTTCGGTTCACGAAAAAATCGGTTAGTGACCAAAAACTTCAATAAAATTTTACCTCGGTTAACGAAGAAATTTCGGTTAACTAGCAACTAATGCACCGGCGGGCACCGCCAAATATTTTTATATAACATAGAGTGAAAAAAATGGCATGAAATACGATTTATTACTTCAAAAATTATGATGTCTTTGAGCTCCACTCAAACGAAACGAGTTTAGAAGTCGTTATAAGAAGAAGAAGCAACGTCCGACTGCAGTACCGAGACGACATAACACTAAGTGGGGCAAATTCAGCTATTTTTCCGCTAGATCTAGTATATTTTCAACTCATTCAGCGGGAATAAATGAGCTCTGGCGTAAAAAAATTATGTGATATGTAGGTAATATTTTCTTTTCAGCTACAAAATTTCAATACATAGTGTATTTTCGCATGAAAATACCTGGTTTTAGCTTGAAACTCATTGAAATAGTTGGCAACGCTGATACACTCACTCGTGCGGAAGATTCAACTTGATCGAACGTTCATATCCATCTTATTTGACACTTTTAGTGTTATTTGAATATTTATAGCCCTCAGTCATGTCTCCAGGGAAGGGTAAGAGTGATATAATAGGATACAGTCTTCTAAACCGAAAATCATTCCCATTGAAATGTTGCAGTGATCAACACCGAACAATTAAATATACATAATTGTAGTTCGCCCAACTTGATCGGAGTTAGGAGCGTCGGTAACATGGTACATCATTTCGTTAAGATGATGGAAGGGCATTTGGTTGCTTCCTATTGTTAACACCACATATATATTTATAAAATGAGGCGTAAATTATAATATGCAATTATTTAGGTTTTTATTTTGATTAGTTACTGATTAATGTGTCATCAATACAGAAGAAAATGATTGATGAGTGTTCAACTCACTATTCTCAGCATACATGCACCAGTGTTTTTCTGACTCATACAGTTGCACATGACTCATACAGTTGCACATGACTCATACAGTTGCACATGACTCATACAGTTGCACATGACTCATACAGTTGTACATGACTCATACAGTTGCACATGACTCATACAGTTGCACATGACTCATACAGTTGCACATGACTCACACAGTTGCACATGACTCATGCAGTTGCACATGTTGAAGGTTATCTGTTTATTAGCTTTGCTTTCTGAACCTAATTTTCCCATATGGAGCTGACTACCTTGCCGTTACTGGTTACTCAGAATCAATCTCATGTAATTTGACATATTTAGTACGCTGTAAATTCGATAATCTTAGCTACGTTTGTAGGTTTCTTATATTAACAAGTTGGCGACCAAGCTTGAATGGGTGGGATTTTGATCGGGCAGGTAAAGTGCAAAAACTATATTATGTGGTCGTCCACTTTTCAATTAAAGGTGGGCAATAATTACAAAGGGATAATTCATTTTCTCTGCTATGAAAGATAAAATATTCGTTTCAGTTCTATCAGAATTTTCTGCATTTATGAGCCACAACAAACTGGACATATTTTTTAATGTCTTATCCTAAGAGACCGAGTTTTATTGCTTACACATCGAGGCAATTATAGACTGAAGGAGACTGGGAATAATTACTAATTTTATTAAGGCTCTTTATGCGCAAACTGCCTATCTCTGCCGCATGGTATTTGTACAAGTTGTACTTAAAAAACTGTACAGTGTGCATGGCATCTTTTAAATGAATCTGAATCT